AGTTTACTTTTGATTCACCCCTTGCCATGTTTAATAACATTTAATATTGATGAGTAGCATAAACAAGAGTGAACTAAATACTTGAATGTGGTGTTCCGTCAATATGCAACCCGTTGCATATTGAGCTCCACTTAATTTGTATTGTTGTTTGTTGCACTTTGCCATGTCATGTCATGCCTCATTAAACCGGACATGCATCATACTTGGTTGTGCATCATGCCATGATTATGCGATGGTTGTTTACTATGTTGTTTGCTTCTTTCCGGTTTGCTTCTCTCGTTAGCTTCGGTTTCGTTTCGGAGTTGTGAGGATTCGTTCGACTACGTCCGTTCGTCTTCTTCATGGACTCGTTCTTCTTCCTAGCGGGATTTCAGGCAAGATGACCGCTACCCTGGATCTCACTACTATCATTGCTATGCTAGTTGCTTCGTTCTATCGCTATGCTGTGTTACCTATCATTGCTCTTCAAGCCTCCCAAATTGCCATGAACCTCTAACCTTTGACACCATTCCTAGCAAACCGTTGTTTGGCTATGTTACCGCTTTGCTCAGCCCCTCTTATAGCGTTGTTAGTTGCAGGTGAAGTTGAAGATTGCTCCATGGTGGACAGGGTTATGTTGGGATATCACAATATCTCTTATATTATTAATGCATCTATATACTTGGTAAAGGGTGGAAGGCTCGGCCTTATGCCTGGTGTTTTGTTCCACTCTTGCCACCCTAGTTTCCGTCATACCGGTGTTATGTTCCCGGATTTTGCGTTCCTAACGCGGTCGGGTGATTTATGGGACCCCCCTGACAGTTTGCTTTGAATAAAACTCCTCCAGCAAGGCCCAACATTGGTTTTACCATTTGCCTCACCGATTACCTTTTTTTCCCTTGGGAGTCGCGCATCCCAAGGGTCATCTTTATTTTAGCCCCCCCGGGCCAATGCTTGTCTAAGTGTTGGTCCAAACTAGAGCCACTTGCAGCGCCACCTCGGGGAAACTTGAGGGATGGTTCTAGTTGTACGTAGTGCTCATCCGGTCGTGGCCTGAGACGAGATACGCGCGGCTACTATCAGGATGTCGGCACGCCGGGAGGTCTTGCTGGTTTTGTTTTACCATTGTCGAAATGTCTTGATGTACCGGGATACCGAGTCTGATCGGAGTGTCTTGGGAGAAGGTCTATTCCTTCGTTGATTGCGAGAGCTTGTCATGGGCTAAGTTGGGACACCCCTGCAGGGTATAAACTTTCGAGAGCCGTGCCCGCGGTTATGTGGCAGATGGGAATTTGTTAATGTCCGGTTGTAGATAACTTGACACCAGATCCGAATTAAAACGCATCAACCGCGTGTGTAGCCGTGATGGTCTCTTCTCGGCGGAGTCCGGGAAGTGAACACGGCTTCTGTGTTATGACCGACGTAAGTAGGAGTTCAGGATCACCTCTTGATCATTGCTAGTTTCACGACCGTTCCGCTTGCTCTCTTCTCGCTCTTATTTGCGTTGGTTAGCCACCATACTTGCTTAGTCGCTGCTGCAACCTCACCACTTTACCCCTTCCTTTCCCATTAAGCTTTGCTAGTCTTGATACCCATGGTAATGGGATTGCTGAGTCCTCGTGGCTTACCAGATACTTCCAAAACCAGTTTGCAGGTGCCTATGTTACCGAGCAGGTGACGCAACCAAGCTCAAGGAGGAGCTCGATGAAGATCTTGCCCTTTGTGTTGTTTCGTTCTAGTTGATCAGTAGTGGAGCCCAGTTGGGGTCGATCGGGGACCTTTGTCGCATTTGGGGTTCTTCTTTTATTTTGGTTCCGTAGTCGGACCTTGATTGTATCTGGATGATGTAATGCTTTATTCATGTAATTGTGTGAAGTGGCGATTGTAAGCCAACTATGTATCTCTTTCCCTTATGTATTACATGGGTTGTGTGAAGATTACCTCACTTGCGACATTGCTTTCAATGCGGTTATGCCTCTAAGTCGTGCTTCGACACGTGGGAGATATAGCCGCATCGAGGGCGTTACAGTAATAACAGCCCACAATGTAATAAATATTGATATAAAAGCATGATGCAAAATGGACGTATCACCGACTCTCGTGCTGCTATTGCTTCAAAAGAAAGTAAGGATCCAGATGAGCTAAGGGGTGTGAAAAGCTTACTTTCCAAGTTAAACGCACGGAGCTGTGGCGCAGTGGATCCTTTTTGCTGCCCATGTAAGTACACATTAAGCCGGATCGGTGACTCAATGGTATGATCCGCCAAGCAACCCAGCATCGAACCAAATCGATGCCAGTTAAGCTGTTTCCCAACAGAGCCTTGACCTTGGCGATGGTGGGGGCGAGTTTTTTGCGTTCAGAAGCGGTCAACTTATCAGGAAGAGGATGTTTTGAGTCAAGACGCAGGGCATGAAAGCCTGGCAATCGGTTCTCGCCAGCCAGAGAAGTGTCCTTGCAGTAGAACCATGTCTGGTTCCAATCCTTGGGATGACTCGGCAGGCGAGCATAGGGGAAGATAGCATCTCTCCTTCGCTGAATTGAGATTCTGCCAAGTTCCAGGCTGGATCCGTTTGAATATTCATTTTGGCGGTTCAAATAGAAGTATTCCCTGAAAAGTTCCACACTGGGCTCCTCTTGAAGGTACACCTCGCAGAAAACTTGAAAATTGCATATGTTTGACACGGAATTGGGTCCGATGTCTTGAGAACGAAGGTCAAAAAAGTGCAGAACGTCTCGAAAAAATTTAGAGCCGGGCGGTGAGAAGCCTCGGTTCATGTGATCAGTAAAGACAATGACTTCATCATCCTTTGGCTGAGGTTTCTCCTCTTCCGGCTTGGGGCGCGATAATGCATGATAGTCTTCTCTGGCAAATAGCCGGTTTTCACAAAGTCCTAGAGTGTGTTCTCAGTGACAATGGAGGGAACCCAGTTACAGGAAGTGGCTGTCTTCGGGGCCATTGTGAAGAAAGAAGCCTAAAAAGAAAAAGAACAAGTTTGCCGGTTTAAGTTAACTCGGAGGAAAAAGCACTACAACACATATTCAGAATGGCGGCTTAAAAGGTGCCTAATGATATATGACTAGCTACAGCCGGTTATGTAAGCCGCCATGAAGAGATCGATATCTATCAAGAGGGAAATCTGCTAAGTGTTGAATCTAGCTACAACTAGTGGTGTAAGCCGCCATGACCAGATTGGTATGTATCATGAGTAAAATCTTCTAAGTGTTGGAAAAACAAGTTTTTACAAATGGTAGCAGGTGATTTGGATCTGGCGCTATGTGAGAAAAGAAAATAAATCAAAACCTAAAACATTGCAGCAGTAGAGGAACTAGCACAAGGGCGGGATTTATACATCTGTGAAGCAAGCTTTGAGATAATAAAAGGAATGAAAACAAGTTCCGCGCATCCTAATAGACACATTCGGATCTAAAACAAGGGTTGTCTAGAAGAACGACGAAGAACTACGAAGAACTCGAAAAACTATAGAAACCCTAATGCGATCTGGAGCATAGGAGGAGGAACGCTTACAGAGGCAGATGAACTGCGGTGGAGCACCGGCGTTCTCTGGTCCCTTTCAGGTTGATGCAGCGGCCAAGGGCGAGGAGGACGGTGAGCTTCGCGGCGGCGGCGGAGCTCGAAGTGGCAGATGAGTCGCGAGAGGAGGAAGATGAGAAGGAGAAGGGGGAGAATGACATAAGGGAGGTTCGACCCTATTTATAAGGAGAAGATTAATAAGTGGGCGCGAAAAACAAGGAGACCAAAGAATGGTTATCCAGGTGCTCGGGCGCCTTGATTCTCGAGACAGCTATTAAAGATAAGGATCCGTTAAGATATATTGGATATTGTGTAAATTAATGATAGGTGACGTCATGGCGGGTTACCACAAACCCAGGAGATGATGTCATGGCGGGTTATGAGTTCTCTCACAAATGAAGAAAGGAAGATTTTTTCTAAGTATTGAAGATTGACATGAACAAGTTCAAATCAACCTGGGGCCTAATGTTGGAGATATAACTATTATGTATGATCCGTCCAGAAGGGGCTGGGTTATACCTATGGCGATTCATGATGTGAAGCCAATGAGGATATTGAAGATGGCAGTTCAGAGGCGAGGGCCCAAGGCCCAAGGGCGACTTAAGGCCCGTAGGAGTAAACCGTCATATGTGTAAGACTTGTATTGTAAGGCATGTATAGTTAGTCACCGAGCCAGACACGTTGTCTATGAGCCGGCCGGGACTCTGTGAGCCGCTGGACGTCAACCTGTGTATATAAAGGGACGACCCGACGGCGGTTCAAGGCAAGAAACAAGAGATCGAAAGCTAGGTCAAGCGTATTCGCTCCCTGATAATCGAGACATAAGCAATACCACCTAAAAATGGATTAGGCCTTTACCTTCACCGCAAGAAGCCGAACCAGTATAAACTCCTGTGTCATTTGTCCCGTTTAACCCCTATAACCTAAGCTAGTTGCGATGGCTCCATGACTAAGTGTTCACAGTAGGACATCTGCCGTGGCTATTCCACAACACTATAGATGACATGACAACTCCTTATAGCCCGATTGTTGGCTGTATTATTAACCATGCTCTAAAATTAAATAAAATGCGGACATGTGGCACGTCCCTATTTCTCGATACGCAGAGAGTGAGAAACACCGGGGTCAGGGGCCACCGTGCAAAATTACCCCCTTGCTAAGCCCTCCACCGTCACCGACCGCCCCTGGCAACGAAGACGACGAACCAATCCATCCATCCCTAGGAAACAAGGAGGCGAAGGACCACCAGACCGGCCTCCTCTCGACTCGGCTCCGCCGCTCCGCCCCCGCCGACCACCACGAGGTGCTCCCCCTCTCCCTCTTCCGCGCCCGCCCTGGCGCCCGAATTCCATTGCTTCATTTGTGCCTAATCGATCCGCTCCGTGCGCTGGTCATTCTAGGGTTTACTGTCGTTGGCTGAATCGAGAGCTCGTGCGTTCGTGCTAGTCGCTAATCCGCGGACCGGCGGTCGTTGTGTCGTTGATTCGCCATGGGGAGCAAGGGGCGTATGCCTCCTCCTTACCACCACCGGCCGCTCCCTGGTCCCGGCTCTGGCCCGCCGCATGGCATGATGCACCGTGATCCGTACGGCCCGGGCATGCACCCACCGCCAGGGCCGGGGCCATACCCCTACGATATGTTGCCGCCGCCTGAGATCCTGGAGCAGAAGCTCGCGGCGCAGTGTGGAGAGATACAGAAGCTGGCGCTGGAGAATGAACGGCTCGCCGCGAGCCATGCGTCTCTGAGGAAAGAGCTCGCTGCCGCGCAGCAGGAGCTGCAGAGGATACAGGCGCAGGGGGAGGCGGCGAAGGCCGCCGAGGAGCAGGAGATGAGGGGGCTCCTTGATAAGGCTGCCAAGATGGAGGCCGATCTCAAGTCCTACGAGTCTGTCAAGGCGGACCTGCAGCAGGCGCACGCGGAGGCGCAGAACCTGGCGGCGGCAAGGCAGCATTTATTGGCGGATGCGCAGAAGCTGAACAAAGACCTGCAGAGGAACTTTGGCGAGGCACAGCAGCTGCCTGCACTCATGGCTGATCTTGATGCTGCTAGACAGGAATATCAGCACCTCAGGTGTGTCAACGTGTGCTGTACTTGTTCTCCAGCATGTCTTCTAACCAATATATGAATAATACCTCAACCATGCTCGTGCTATTTAAATTTCAGGGCTGCATATGAGTATGAAAGGAAACTGAAGATGGACCACTCCGAGTCGCTGCAGGGAATGAAGAAAAATTATGACTCCATGGTTACAGAGTTAGAGAAGCTTCGTGCTGAGTTGACAAACACAACTAATGTTGACAGAAGTGGTACGTCATTATATCTCATCCATTTCATTCCTCTGTAGATATATGTACGTAGAAACCTACCTTTGCAGCCGCAGTTATGTCTTTCGTTGCTATGATTTTTTCTTTAACCTTTGTAGTTGCGGTTATGTTTTTGGTTAACATGAGTCGTTTTTTATGTGTAGGTACTTTGTACAATCCTAATTTTGCTCAGAAGGATGGTGGTACATCTAGCCACCATTCTGCTTATGATGGTGGCTATGGGGGTGCACAGGTGAGCACCTTTATTTCCTGCCAAATGGATACCTCACAAGTTGAGACATTTATTATTTCTGAAGTATGTATCATCTGGATGATTGTGGGTTTAAGCCCAGGTGATCCGAGTGTGAGACTACACTTATCATGCCGAGCTCGAGCACGGCTCGGTTAGGGTTGAACTTGAATCTAGTGATACAAACTTATAATACAGTAATTATCTTATTGCATAATATAACGTGTGCGTGTTAATTTTTTGACGTTTTTGCTTGTTTGCCCACATATATCACATCTCCTTTGTCCTGTACTTACAAGGGACACTCCACAAACTATTTCCAGTATTTTCTCTTCATGATTAAAGTAGGATTTACCATTTTCTCTTTCACCCCCCTTGGTTTCTTTAACCTTAAACCTGCTTAATTATTGTGCCCTCTCAAACATATCTTAGAGAGAGAGAGAGAGAGAGGGATAATTAAACACTGTTTATGTTTATGCATCTATCTGGCGTGAGTACTTAAGTCCAAAGTTCAAAAAGGCGCTGGGCATTAATTATGCGTTTTGGGACATACTTGCGCTCAACTTGCCTGTGCGCTGCCTAGGCGTTTAGTATTTTAGCATGAAGGAATGACTGTATTGTGAAGAAATATGCTAGATGGGCTATCCTAGCTCATTAAACCACTAGCACATCTTCCTATTCTTCTACTAGCCCCCGTAGGTGCACAATCAGACAGAAAGTCTAGGTATGCTCCTCGTGCCGCCCCTCTCCCTTTGCTGCACCGATGCTGCCTCTTCCTCTCTTTGTCTCTCCCTTGCTGTTCCGGTGTGAACCAGCCGGAGAAGCTCGATCCCTCACTGGAATCAGTTGATTTATCGTCGGAGTGGTTGAATCCTCGTCAGGGAGGAGGATTCCTCGCTAGGGAGGTCAAATCCTCACCAGAGAGATTGATTCCTCACCGGAGAATACTGATTTCTCCCTGGAGGACCACACCGACCGCTTTTTTTAGCGCCTAGGGCCAAAGAGAGGTGTTATACCGAGTAGCCGACGCCCAGCGCTTAAGCACGCCTAGGCTAGCGCCTAGGAGTGTTTTTTTGAACTATGCTTAAGCCACACTTGGCAGGCCAATACCCACTAAATTAAAGAACACAGGGGCCTGTCCCACTAGATCCGATTTCACCTTATGCTAATCATAACTTCCAATATTCCAACCGTTTATTTCCCCTTTTGCAACTTTAAAAGGCATTATATTTATTCGCACAATTGCTGGTTTTCCAGATTGTTTGTCAGGAATTCTTAGATTTTGTGCTTTGTTGATTTGAAAAGGCATGGCTTGACTTGGATGGCCCCCTAAATTGCATATTTACCGTTAATTTCTTTTGCTCCCTCTGTTCACTTTTGTAAGACGTTTTGGACAGCTGAAATTGAACTGTTTTAGGCATTGTCTTATAAATGTCTAAAACGTCTTACAAAAGTGAACGGAGGAAGTACTACACAGTCTTACAATAAGAAAGTGCTTTATAAATACAAATTCAACACATAAAAACTGTTTCAAAATAGCTAAATATTGTTGGATAATTAAAAATAATAATTAACAATTATATTGCATATTTGCACACTCAGGATCTCTTGTTCTTGCTAAGCTGGTTTTGTTTGATTTGATAATTGTAGACTTGAAATATGATACTGGATTCTATGAACTATTTCACGCACCCAACCACCCACTATAACACATGTAATTCTGAATCAGGGATCTGGCTCAACCCTTGTTTTCCCATGGGCATTCAAGGCAGAGTGTCATCGAAAATACAGATTAACATAAATAAAAGCTGGACTAGCTGTCTGGCTACCGTTGTTTGCCCCTGATTGCCTTTACTTTCTCGCCTGGAGTTAATGGATTGCTTATTTTTCTGTGCAAACAATAATATAAATTGTGTTTTCAGATGTTCTAACTAACCGCTGGAGTAATTTTTCCATGTTAACAACATAATTGTTTTGTGGATCCAGGCTAGGACGCCCCCTGGTATGCCAGACCCTTTAAGCGGAAGCCCAGCTGGAACTGCTCCTCGTTCTGGATATGATCCATCAAGAGGGAATGCATATGAGACTTCTCGTCTTGCTAGAGTCCATGATGCATCAAGGGGTGCTACTGGTTACGACTCTCTAAAAGTTGCTGGATATGACACTTCTAGAATGCCTGCACTTGGAGGTCAGGCAGCGGCTCCAACTGCTCATGGGAGTAGTGCTGGTTACTATGGATCAAGTCAGGTCACACCACCTTCGCATGCACGGGCACCAGGTGCTGCACCCACATATGGATCTGCACAGGTGCCACCATCATATGCTTCTGGGCCAGTCCCGTCTTCATCATACGGCGCAACAACAGCGCGACCTCATGGCTCAGCTCAGGGGCTACCATCATATGGACAAACACAGGCTCCATCTTATGCACACACACAGATGCCACCATCCTATGGACTAGCACAGGCATCATCACACTTCGCCCCAACCCAGGGGGGGTCACCGTACGGGTTGTCTGCACAGCCTCAGGGCTATGGATCCGCGCAAGCAGCACCTAACACCAGTGGTGCTTATCAAGCTCCACATGGACGTAGATAAATTGGTGATAACTGTACTTTGTTGTGGTCTTGTTATCGAGAGAGACATGGCGCTGCTTCGTTGTTTACCAGAGTCAAATTTAGTTTCTGCAGCTACCACGGTACCAAACTGCTGTTTTATCGGTCTGATACAAATCTTTCTTGCAATCTGTAAGAGATTGTATGTGCAATCATATTTGTTTCTGAGATAGCGATGACTTCCATAAATATGTGTTGTGATGGTTTTAAAGCATTTTCTATGAGTGGTGATGTCTCGAGTTTAGGCAAGGAGTAACAGTACTGTAAATTTCAGCTAGTTGTATACTGTTTATTTTGCACTTTAGTTACCAGGTGATATTCATTGACTGCCAGTTGAGTTGCATGTATGGTATGATCTGTGCACCTGCCAGTCCTTATTCTAAAATAGTTATCGTATCCAGTAACCATCTTGGTTGTTTGAGTTGATTGCGGCTTTCTGTTGTCTAGCAATCATGCGAATTTCATATCAATAAAGTTGAGTTGTGAAATATGCTTCAGCACCATCCTCGAGGTTTATTTCAAACTGAGATGAAAATGTGTAGAAGCAATGCTTGCGTACAGCAGAGTTCAGTGTGGTTTTAGAAGCTTTTGGTATCAGACTAGTTGCCTGCAAAGGCAGACATTTCGTTAGCTTCATGTTCTGTGCATATAGCTTTCTAACCAGCTTCATCCAGTAATTTCCTAGCCATCCTGGATGTTTGTTTGTCCAGTTGGTGACAGGTTAGAGCTTTCTTTTAGCAATCATCATCACAAAGTCTGTCGAATTTCATACCAATAGTTTCTTTGCCTGTTAAACATGCAGCGATCGTCCAGGTTTATCTGAAACTCGGATCATCTTTGAGAAAAAGCCATGCCCACATACAGAAAAGCTCAGTGTGCTGTAGGATGGTGGAGCATCCGAGTCGGATTATCTTCATGCAAAGGTGTACATTTTGGTCTGCTCTGTGCATCCAGCTTTCGTAACTGAAGAACAGACCGTTGAACTTGAACACTCACATCAGCCATCCAACTCCCTCACAAGTTGCGGCAGAGCGACAGATTCAACGGAGCATTTATATCCCCATTGTCGACAATATATCATGAGTAGTCATCACAAGTTGCTTAGTGCAGTGTACCAGGGGAAAATCCATTGTGATGATCTTGCAGAACCCGCATTTCGGTGGTCATGGATTTCACAGAGGAAAAACAAACAAAATCTCCGGACCAAGTCATCAAATTCCAGCCGATGTTCTTGGCACCGCACTACCACTGCTTCGATGGCTCCAGGCCTCTAACCAGGCTCGAGCAGAATAAATTCATGGAACCTTTTACAGAAAGCAGCAGAGAAGAGACTGAAATGGTTCCAACCCTACACACAGGGGAATATATTAGGCCCTACAATGTCTCAAGTTTGAACCTGGTACAAACCAGAGGTCATGATCAGAAGGGATGGAGGTGAAAAGAAGTGAAGCTTTTCCTAGGGAAGGTAGAAGCGAAAGCTCTTGAGATAATTGGAGGATGAAAAAGGCTCATTCACAGCCTAACTCCCTTTTTCCCCATTCTTTCTCCTAGGGGTGCTTTGCTCAATTGTTCATAAAGGCAATCTTCTCGCAACATATATGGTCGATAAGGTATAATCTTATAGTAGTTCTTCCGTTTTCTTCTTTTTTTTTAGATGGTTGTCTTGTTCTTTTCTTGAGCGAATCTTAGAGTAGGAGTTTATTCAAGTATTCAACTTGCTTCAAATTGCTCATTAGTATGTCTAGTGGCGCGATAGCTTTGAGAAAAGCCGGCGCATTAAACTAGTCCCACTTGATGTTATAGCTGTTTGGAAATGACTTGTACTTTTCTACATTTGTGGTGATGCCAATCATAATCCATTCTGCCTGCCTATATATTAGATGTTGCCTATATAGCTAAACTCCACTGTGAAGTAGATTAAAATTTACCATAACTGGCAGTTTATTAAAATTTTACTCCACCAAAGAGATGACCGTAAAGTAGATTAAAATGTACTAAATCCGGCAGCTGATTAAATTAAACTTACTTTTATGGACCAACTTTAAAAAAAATGCTTTTCCTGTCAAATTGCACATCTGCACCACGCACACATCGAAACGGAGATATTTGGCCTTCCATGTCCTCCAAGTAGATATATCTCTTGCTTTCTAGGTTCTCTAAGTAGTTACTACCATTTGTAAGATTCTGTTATTCTCCATCTGTCTGGCAACACACACCAAAAGGAAAGGAAAGGAAGTGGCAAATGATCCGAAGGGTTAAAATACTAACGAAAACACGGCTTCTAAAGAAAGACAAATGTATCAATATGCTCTCTTTTTCCATATGGTTGCTATCTTTCTTTTGAAGCCATGAACTTGCTTGCCATGTCAGGACTCATCCCTTCCAATGCCAACTCGACACAAAGGCGTAGATGGCACAGCACAGCTTTACTGCACGGGGTATCCAATTAATCTAACAGATATCAGGGCCAGGTGGATCATATCTATATGTCTAATCTAAGCGCTTAGCTCTCGCCTAACAACTGTGGAGATCTTTGCACATCATTGGGATTCCGCCTAAAATTCGCTGTTACGTTCGATTCGACGCTATGATTACAGCAAGCGCGCATTACGCCTAGATTAAGCAATGAAGCAACGGGCTGAAAGTGAAGGTTTCTTGCATTTTGCAGCCTTGCCTGCTCGCTCACCTGAACTAGGCAAAGCCAGCTGTGGACCGGGGACGGCAACGGCAGTAGGAGAGACTACTGGGGGTTGCAGGCAGCGCGGCTTGCACTGTGCAGTGTACAGGTGATCACTTTCTATGACTGGAACCATTTTCATGGCATAATCAACTTCCTCTTTGACCAAAATGTTATGTGCATGCACACAGATGTATGTGTGCAGGTGAAGGGAGTGGGAATAATCTGGTGAAACTTGTGGCTGCCTACTTGTTAGGCACCGAACATATATGGTAGATATTTGGAGCAATGTGAATGCCGCGCCTTCTTTTCCAGTATGTTTCTTCGTGGAATTTGATGGGTGGATTGCGTGCTAATCAAGGCTTGTTCCCCTTGATCGAGGTTCTTCTCAACAGGAGGCTGTGCCATTGGCGCTGAGGCAAAGCGGTA